TATTTTCCCTTCACACACACCACGATGAAGGTCATGAAGGGGGATCTTTAACTGACGTAACAGTGGAATTTTAGAGCTAACACAGAACTTTACTTTTATATTCTATTCTTTAATCAGAAATCTCAAAGTGATCTGCACAGCTTGGTCTCAGCTTCTGTGGTTGTGTCCCTTCTTCCCAAGACAATGCATTAGGATAAATCCAGCTTAAAATTATAGGGCACTTAAGGATATTGACTATTCCCCAAAAATTCAGGCTAAGTCCAGTCCTAACAGCACTGACTGCAAGACATAAAGCCCACCTTTGTGCAAAACCATCTCCAAGATGCTCTTCCTGTTATTGTTGCTGTGGGTTTTCCTTCTTCTCCATCTCATTGTTTTTCTTGTGCAGTTTAGAAACAAACAATGAGCAGACTTTGAAGAAAGGAGGAAACTGTCCACACATGCTTTCTACTCCTCTCTCTTCCTCCCTGCTTTTTCTTAGATTTTTATTCTCCCAACATATCCTCTTCTCATTGAGAAAAGGGGAACGATTCCCCTCCTCCCTCATGATACCTCTACTAGATACTAAATTTTCTAAAAAATTCAGAAGAGAAGAATCTATGTCTTACCTTTTTCTACTGAAGTAATCTCTGCCACCTTCTATACACCTCAAGTGTCTGAGAGAGTGAAGCTCCAGAAACACACCTGCTAATCCAGTGCTGATGGGGTTAATGAGATCAAAGAGAGATTCCACTCCGTGCTTAGCAGTGAGATACTTCCTACCACAGCGCCAGGGTCACTGTAGCCCTCCTCCAGCTCACCTAAATCAGCATCAAAATAACACAAATCAGCCCCTACTGTGATTAGAATCAGTATTCCCACTTTCTGTCTCCTTCCAACACCATCAGCCCCCTCACCTCTCCACATTAAAATCAGACAGTGATTAATTTCGGGGTAATTTTCCCAAATCACATGTTTATTTTCAAGCATGCTCTCTATCTGTTCTCCTCTCCCGCCCTCCCCTCACCATCATTAATCAGCAAGGGCTTCACGTGCTCAAAGCAGGAGCTTACCTTCTCACCCAGCAGACAAAGTGATCCCAAAATTCAGCTCCCCAACAGCCAAGTAGGTAAAGAACAGCTCTCCCAACATCTTCTCTTAAGTCTCCCCCGGCAAGCGCAGGAAGGGGCCTAACAAAGCTGTATGCAGCCAATTGTGTTATCAAGGCACTTGGCACTACCAGCTGATCCTTGATTACTATTCATCCCTCGGGAAAATAAAACACCCTTTTGTAGTAAAAGTGTAACCGGTTACTATGATGCATTACACATCAACAAAAGCAGCTTTTTACCAAAATTACAGATGATGAAAGCCTGGAAGTGGAATCAGACCAAGGTAACCGGTTGTTTCTACATGTTTCAGATAGAAAGCTGACAGTTTAACCAAGATTTTTACAGTGCTAGGAAGAAAGTGGTGGGTGAGCTATGTCACATATCTGTACAAAAAAAGGGTGGAGAGTTCTGTAAAACAAATTTTAAGACTAATGTTTTTCTGCTGTAGGGACCTTTCTGGTGCAGCATCCTAGGTGTGCTACTGCCAGCACTGTAGTAACCTCAATTTTCACGAGGTCTTGAACATTTTTAACAGGTGTCTCTGCCATTTTTGTACTTTTCTTGAAGTTTTCAATATGCTTTCATATTTTTCTTTTTTTTTTTTTTTTTTTTTTAGCCTAAGAGAACTGCTTATTAGAGAGCACAGTTATCTGCAAGGCAGACTATGCACTAGGTAGAAGGCTAGAATTTGCTGGCTTGGTGGAATAATCCCTACTTAGGTGGTGAGGAAGCATTCCAGAATATTAAAGGATTTGTTTGTTTGCTAATCTACTTAAGCACCCATAGGCTTTAACACCCACAACTTGTGTGCTTTAGGGATCTTTCATGTCCGTGGCCACTCTCAGTGCAACAGCTCTGCATTAAAGCTGCAGGTTTAGACCCGAGGCAGTGCAGCAAGCTGAGGATGGGACACTCACCTGCAAAGAGCTGCATGGCTTTGGTCCAGCCACCCACCAAATCCTTCTCTACATCTCTCACAGGCACTGTTTGTTGCTGCAGCAGCACACACAAATCATTCTGCTGCTTGCATCCTGCACTCTTGCATCCAACCCAACCAACTCTGGGGCAAGACAGCAACCCAAGCACCATGAAACCCCCTCACACGTCCTGCAAACAAGGCTGTGTGAACACGTTTCACACCCTCAGTTTGGGGAAAACTCGCTGACAGAGAAGGGGGGTAGCTTTAAGCAGCATTAAGCAGAGCAGGCTTGATGTAAGCAGCTGCCCCTGTGTGAAATTTGAAGCTCTTGCCAGCAGTGTGGAGGAAAGACATGACCTCATTATTCCACAGCCCAGATAATCCGTTCCTGGATAAAGTGAGAGCTGACAAGTGTTTCACCTTGAAGGTTATCAAAGCCCTTTCCACACTTGGCTGATGCAGAGCCATTTTACCAAAGAGGGATGTGAAAACTCCTCTGTATTGGTAAAGAAGATAAAAAAATCAGGGGGTGTGTGGTTAAGAGCACATTGCCATCCCACACACACACAGGTATGAGAGGAAGATACCAATGGCATTTCCAGAACCATTTATGCAAACAGGATATATTTGCACAAGTTGATAAAACATTTTTCTCAGTATTTTGAGAGTTGCTGCTCTCAATTCCTTTCATCTACATCGAGGCACTTTCTCTAGCTAAGCGCTTAAGGCCTCTCTTGACATCAGCTGCCCCTTCAGCACCTCCAGAAAGGTAGTTTAGCTCTCAGCCAGGATAAATCACTCTCTGGACCATCTTCTAGTATCTTTCCAATGTTTGCCAAGAGTGATTCTACTCCTCTCATCTTTCAGTTGGATGAACCCAAGCTCTATTGCCATGGATTTTACACAGGCACGTGCAGACAACACACTAGCCTGAAATTTTGTTGGAAGGAATCACAGAATCATTTAGGTTGGAAATGAACCTTTAAGATCATCCAGTCCAACTGCTGGACCCACAATCCGTTTGAGCAATGGCCCCACACTAGTTCAAGGGGAAGGAATGTCATCTGGTTGCCATTGCCTCCTCTTGCAACACCTGCGCTCTCGCTGGAGGCCTGCCACGCAAACACAGAGCGGGGCTCCTCTCTCCCCCTCACCACAGAGAAAACACACATCTCCTTCTCCTATCAGGGCTCTGGAGCTGTTGGATTTAAGACTGCAGGGAAGAATGACACCATTTAAAGTATTTAACACACAACGTATAAAGCCCTGGTGAAAACGCAAGGCTACAGAGAAGATTAACGAATGAACAGGTAGCAGAAACAGCAGACACAAACCCCAAGATCAGAGGCAGGTTTCAGTTGGAATATGTGTCTTCCAGATGTTAACCTGCCATGCAAAACATGCCCAACTACAACTGCAATCCTACATGCCTCTTGCACCTACTCCCTCGGGAAAGCTCCTTATCAAATCGCACACATTACATCAGCTACGGTGTTTTCTTTCATGCCAAAGAAAATAAAAAAGGCACCAGCAAAAGCAAAAGATTTTGGGGTTCATAGGAGACAAAAGTTATTGCAATTCACTGCAACTAGAACAACAACATTAAATACAAAAGGGTCACAATGTAAAAACCAATTTTCCAAAAGTACCTCTGCTCCCCCAGCAAGCCACTTCCCATGGCCCTGACTGCATCAGCGCAGGAGTCATCTTAAAACTCAGAAGGGTGAGGAAACACATTTAGTTTTATCCCAACTTTGGGATCACAGGAAGCAAGGCAAGTTCTTTATGCCTGCTTTTCACTAGTTCTCCCAGGGGCTTTTGCCAAGGTTGTGACGGTGGGTGCCTGCCTTCCAGGCACATGCGTGACTCCATCTTCCAGGTACAATTCCTCCTTAGTTCTCTCCTAGCTACCACTAGATACTGGGATACCACAACCCCCAGGCACTGGCATTTCTAGTCCTGGCAATACTGTTTCACCTACCCATCAGTTGTTTTCTCTGGCAGAGCCAGGAACAAAAAAAAGCCTTCAGGGTGAGGCCCCTCACAGGCCTCACACTCACCTGTTGCAATAGGGAGAGACAGTTCTTCTGCCCACAAACTTGTGTCCATCACTGAACTTCATCTTCCCGGTCAAAACACCACATTTACACTTTGGCTTCCTCTTTCCCCCTCTCCACACCCCCTCAGCAGAGTTTGAGGCCTCCTTCAACAGGAAACATCACCCTCAGCCTTCCTGCAGCACTAATGGATGGATGCTCAGTTACAGGAGCATTATGTTTGGCACGTGCCCAGTTTCCGAAGGGGAATCACCACACTCTGACATTTAAAATGAGTAAAGAAGCTAAAAGGAAAGAGCCAGCATACACAAACCACAAAAAAAATCCACTTTAAGGACATAATATTTGAAAGGGCTGACAAGTCTAAATTCAATGATTTTGAAAAACCACCTTTGAAAACGATCTTTATTCTGTCCCTGATGTTTTCCCTCGCACCTGAGCTGAGTAAACTGTTCTGCTCTCATTCAGAGACTACAGGAAAACTAGCCACAATAAACTTCATTCTTTTTCCAGGATTAAGAATTGTATATCGTACGTGCAGTGAAAACCTGTTTTATGCATTAAGGAGAACACAGGACTGATTTTTTTTTTTTTTTAAGTGAAGACATTTTTGCATTTTGATCATAAATATTCGCCTGGTCATTTTTGGCAAACCTGTCAAAAGACATTTTATGCCATTTTGCAAGATGTTGTCATTGGAGGAAAAAGGTAGATTTTTGTATTTAAACAAAATGTGCCTGAAACATTGGAAAGCTTGATTTAAAGGTAACAATTCTGCAACTCAAGCAGTATTCGGGCCAAAAACTGGCTCCAAAAGATAATAGCAGGCAGCAAAAAGACTCTGTTTCTAAAGAACGTAAAGAAGTCTAGGAAGTACGTCTCAGTTAAAAAGAGGATGGGAGAAAGATAGATGTTCTTCTCAGATGCCTTCTGCTCACTGAGGCTTGATCACTTTATTAAAATAACATCTCATAGAAACACCCAAACAACAATGGTGATTAACCCAGCAGAAGAGAGAACACCTCTCTCTTTGATTCACTCTGCAGCACAGAGGTGTTCAGGCTTATACGGCCTCACACTGCAAGAGATTTGATTCAGAGCCAAGGCACGATGTGTTCAGTAAAACACGCTGTGAAAAGTTCAGCTCTGAGCTAAAACCCACTTGTTTAAATGACAGGCCAATGGGAGATGCCTCTGGAGTGCTCTGTCCTACAGTGCCCTCATCAGTAAGTTCCAATGAGAGGCTCAGGGTGCAAAAGCTCTCGCCAAATTGGATTATGAAAGGACTACAGTGATGGTGTGTTTTGACCAAAAATGAATTTTTGGTTATTTTTTTCAGAATTCTGACAAGTGGGTTTCAAGTTGCTAGTCCATGATAACGGCGTTCTGTCATTAGGAATGAGATGGGGAGTCACTGTACCTTTCTTTAAATCTCAATTTATCAGTGGCTTGGGATGGACTAAGATCCTGAGCGGTGCCAGACTGGCAAAGTTTTCCGAACAGAACTTTTGGGAGCAACAGACACCTAGGGACTTCAAAAATTTGCCATCACCTACGTTTTTTTTTTTTAAGAATACCTTACTTTAAAAAAGAAAAAATCAAAAAACAAATTCCACAAGCCCAAGGATAAAAAGGGGATCTTCCTGCATCCAAAATCGCTTCAGGCATGTAGGTGTGTATCACGAGATTTGGTACCACAGATGTGAGTGAGAGGATAAACATTTGCAGGGATGGGGTTTTTTCCCAAGGCACAAACAACAGACGTGGGCCAGCCTTCTGTCCTAAATGTCCTAAAATTCAACGTGCAAAATTCCCTCTGATGGCAGCAGGAGTCCACAAATGGAAAGGCCAGCCAGCTCCTACCTGCCTGTCTTGCAGCTTCTCAGCTCACATTCATGCCTTGGTGCATGTTCCCGATAAATCTGAGCACTTCCAAAGGAATGGCCCTATAGTTTTGCTACTCATATAGAGCATCGCAGAGTGTTACTTTTAGGCTACAAAATTACAAACAGAATTCGCTATTGGCAGTAAAAACTGCAGTCTCTCTTTCCTCCCTTCAGGAACAGACACCAGAGTAAAGTGCCAGGGGATAAAGGTATGGCATTTAATTTTTGGAAACATCAAAAATGTAATGGTTGTGATAAATGGTTCACATCCTGAACTCCAAGCTGGAGTATAGAGAATTTAGAAAAGAAGACTAAAGTAGCTTCAGTTGCAGTCTTGATCTCCAAGGCAACTTTTCCAGTTTATAATTTTCTTAATTCCCTCTGGTTTTGGACTGTTAAAGAGACTAACAATGAAAAAAAGAAAAAACCTGCACATACATCAGCTGAACTAAGTAAATGACCTGCTTTTCCTCATCCTTTTCGCTGTGGGTTCAGGTTAGTCAAGGGATAGATGGTTTTCAGGGTGCCTACTTGCCAGTATGTCTGAACAGGAGTTGGTTAAGACCAAAGATAAATGTTTGGCTGTAATCAATCAGGATACTTCAGCTTTATCTCGGAAAGCCTGTTTGGCAGCTTTGTTGGAGGTCATAAATCAAAAGAGTCACAATAATTTTCAGCATTTTTTGTAGAGAGGCCACTCCCCAGGTTTGTGCCTCACTGGGATGGTCCCTGGGATTAAACTGTGGCTGAGGCAGGAACAAATGAAGACAGTAATGGCATTTGTTGGTTCTCTCTTTAGGGCCAAGAATCCCCCAAAAGTTCAGAATTTGATAATTTTTTTTTTATACGCGGATATCCACTGAGATAAACTAACTTAAATCAGCAATCTTACTACCTGTAAAATGCAGTTTATACCACTGAAATGGTAAAATATGGAGTTTAGGACAATATCTATTACACTCAAAACTTCCCCGCAGACTTCTATTACAACAATTCTACGTTTAATTAACTTTAGGTACTCCACTCACAATACAAAATTATTTGGTTTCTGACAGCTTTATGAAGGAAATTTGCTATTCACCCTGTGTGTGAATTTGTGTGTGTATTAATTTGCCTCTCAAAGCGTGTGCAGTCCACTCTGCTGCTGATAATCTGCATAGAACTGGATTAACGAGTCGGGAATCCTCGGGGTCACGGCAGTCAGCGCGCACCGAAAGTGCCGTCCCGTGATGGACTGGGCATGGATGTCTTCCTGGAGAGCCAGAAGAGCTGCTTCTCTACAGACTGCTGTTATCTGCAAAGAAACAATAAAGAAACACAACCACATAGTGTTGTTGTTGTTATTATTATTATTATTATTATTATTATTAAATATATTACTTGAAAGGAAGAAAGCAAACACAAGATCATCAACACACTCCAAATGCCAGATACTGACAAGTAGAGCTTTTCCAACCTTTTTTTTTTTTGTTTAATAAATGAGGTTGTGGGTGATTAGGACATCCAAGAAACAGGATATAGCTCGAAATTCAAACCGCAGTAACATTACCTTTCATATTACAGCATGTTGCAAATTAACTCGCTAATCGTATTGCCTTGTGTTAAACTCCCCACAACACCTGATAAATTCAAACCCCAAACACCAGCCACACGTTTTTCGGTCCCCAAAGTGCAAGAGCAGATATTCCCAGGCTCTGTGGGCACTTTTCTTTCTCAGCTTCCCACTGGGAAAGAAGTAAAAACAATTAATTCCGAAAGGAAGGCTCGAAGGAGACGGGTGTGTGGAAGGGGAGGAGGGTTAAGGTCTCATACCCTGCAATGTGTTTTTAAGCTCTCTGGACTTCAGACAGCGGAAACAGACTGATGCCAGTGTCACTCCAAAGACACATTACTGTGGTGAAAGGAGCTTGTGGAATGAAAAGAGATATTGTGATTTCCAGTGCAACAGGGAAAACAGTGATTGATATTGACTGCTGCCTTATATCTGTAAATGAAAGAGCCAGCTGAAACACATTTGTCCGGCTATTCAGCATATTTTCTCTGTTTGTTCACTTACTGAAAGGAGTTCCCCCGCTTATGCTCGGCTAATGGTTGCCAAAGCCGTTTAGTAGCTTTTTAGGGGATTTAGCAGCATGTTTAGGAAGCTTTCACAAGAAAACATGCATGGATTTAGATGGCTTTGTCAAGTTACAACAATATTACTATTAGTTCTGTGCTGTTCTAATGAGCAGCGAAGCTAAACACTGCTGTTACGCATTTTAATGCTTTTCAGGACTTCAGAGACAGCCTAACACGGAAGAGTAGCTGAGATTTAGTGCACCAGCTTCTTGTGGAGATAAGGAATACATCATCCAGAAAGTTAACCTTGGTCTTTCCGTGCAGGCTTTTCCCCAGGCAGACAGTGTGACTGTGTCCCCACCTCTAACACGAATGTTAAGCTACTTAAAGAAAAAGAAAAAAACCCCAACCCCCTGCCCTCCCTGCCTACCACTCTTTCAAAAGACTGTGGGTGGAAAACCACATCCCAAGCATCCTGGGCTCTGAACCCCTGTTGGTATTCAAAAGAGGGGGCCATTTCCCCTTGATAAATACTGCAGTAAGGACAAGTTTTCCACAAAGTGAAGAGACCTTTATTAAAAAAACCAAACCCAAATGCAGTACAGCAGGTTTTGATCACCCTGTTCTCTCTGAGGCCATCACCCACCCACAGCATCAAAATGATGAAGCAGGGTGTCACTAACAAGAGTTGCTAGGAGCTGCTACGTTTTACCGAAGGAGAAGCTGAAGGAAACACTACCAAGTTGGCAGATCCAAAAACGAAAGGACACCGCTGTCAGTCTTATTTCTTCCCATTTCATTTGTACAGATACACCCAGGAGGAATTTGCCCATAAGCTCATAGTTCTGGTGATGCTCTCATGTTTTCTCTATGCTCTGACAACACTGTTGGTAGTAACTGTGATGATAATTAACCTCCAAAGGATTTTTTTTTTGTTTTAATTTTATTCCTAAAGACCAAACCATAAATTCTGTGATAACTGAAAACCACTAGGTGTGAGGAAGCAGCAGAAAACTAGATTGTCTGTGGCTTCTCAAAAGCATGTCAGACGTTTTTAAGGGACAATGAAAGAATTTTAAGGCATGAATTACTGTTCTCTCTTTTCTGGCTGCACTCAGAATTTTTGTGGACTAAATCTTTTATTGTTGAGCAATAAACAGCAGATATTGTGGTACAGTGCTGAAAATTCGGGCCCTCATGTCCAGTCACAGAGTCACATGGTGTTGTTTCCATTCCTGGGCTAACCCAGAGGATCAGGTTTCTGAGGTAAGAGATTCAACAAGACAAGTTTGATTATTTTCCTTTGTACAAGTATGCAAACTATAAAAAAAACCCCTCCTCGCAAGCATTCTCACTAGCTGGTAAAGCTAAATCACTCGTGGAAAGCAAACACAAGTAGTGGTGTAGCCACAGTGACGTGAGAGTGAATTCATCTGGTGAAATCTGCCATGTTATTGGCCTAAGGTCACTGGTTTTTCATGGATATTTCTTGTCACAGTCACATTAGGACATTTCTTACCAGGTGGAGCAACTGAAGGGTTTTTAAATGTTATTTCTCTAGATCGGGTCAAGTGAGGCAAAGAGGGAAGGCAGCAGAAGGGGCTGACTGACAGCAAAGGAAGAAGACCTGTAGCTTTGCAGCAAGGTATGGATCATTCCCAGGCTTAGCAGCACTCCAAATCCAGAGGTTACATCTCGATCATCAGTTTTAAAGCCTTGCAACAGGCCTATCCTTGGTGAGTTTGTCCAATGACTTTCTTAAATCCTTTCTCCTTTTGGCCGCCACAGCATCACCCTGTATGGAGTGTCACTGGCCAATCATGCCTTGTATGAAAAAGCACTTTTGTTTGTATTAAACCTGGTAATTTCAGCAAGTGCCTCATAATCCCTGTGTTATGAGAACAGTGACTCATCCGTTCTTCCCTGTTTACTTGCCCTATACTATCAATGATTTTACAGAGTTTTACCTCATCTCCTAAATCAAATCTTTGCAAGCTGAAGAGTCCTCAGTGATCTGGTCCTTGCTCCTTCACAACTTGTCCATCTTTCCTCCCATCCCATGTTGTCTTGGCTAGTTCTGCCCTGTCCTCTCACTGTTGAGTGGCTGAAGCCATGCAGGGCATGGAAGGGGCCATACCAGGCCATAGCTGTGTCCTTGGGTTGTTTGCAGTTCCTTTCCTATCACTGTGTTAGTGCCGAGTTGATTTTTCTCAGAAAATTATCCACGCTGCCTCCAGCATCTTTTCCCAAGTGACCATACCGAATTTAGGTTGGATACTTGTGAATTTGAAGCCTGGGCGATTTTCTTTTTCCCCCATTGCATTTAGCAGCTTGCATAGCCTCTGCCTGCCTCTGTAAATGAAGGCTGAGAGCCAACATTACCTACCTGCAAGGTAATTCTTAACGAATTTCAAATACAAATACAAGAGATCACCATTTTTACCTTTTCAGTAAACCAAAAAAAAAAAAAAGACTAATAGAAGACCAGTCTTTTGGATCTCTGCGTGTTGTGAGGAATAGGAAAAATGTCCTAGACTTGTTCTAAAGGCAAAACTGCAGCTCGCTCTATGGAAGGACAAAATAGATATTATGACTGCATCTGAATACAGAGTGGCTTTCAGCACCCACTGCTAAGGCAGTAATGAAGACATGAAGTGATTGTCAGAAACAACAGTGATTACACAGCACCAGACCAGGCACCAGGTAATTAAGCTGTAACTACACTGTGGGTGCTACTGCAGCAATGAAGAGCCAGCCAGGTGGGGCTGAGTGCCACTGAACCTGCGAGTACCACAACATCACCTAATTTGATCATTATTATCATTATAAATGAAAGATTAACAAATAGAATTCGCATTTTCAATGAGGTGAGAGCACGTTACTGAGCTATGCATTCATCTGCTGTCTGCAGTCATCTGTTAGCGTGGGAATAATTTTGAATTCATGTATGAAAAGCAGTATATTATTTTTTTTAGAGGACTGATTTATCACCTGTAGGAGTGCTTTAAGATCAGAAAATAAACAACTTTTAGAATCCTGCTTCAAAGTCAAAAATACAACAGTACCAAGCTACCCTGGGAGGGAAGGAGAATTAAAATTTGCTGTCTGAACCACACACACACAGATCGGTAAGAAGCGAAGCCACACACAAGCTCACAGCCACAGTGCAGACCATGATGAGTCCCCAGAAGATATGGATTTACACCTAGTCGTTCCCCCCTTCCCCATTTCACTCCCAGCAACAATAACACGCCCGGCACCAATTTCTGTTCCCTGAATAAACAGCATTCAGCATAACCCATCTTTCTCCCGAAACCAATGGTTACATTGGATGATTCAGCCCGGCCGATTCTTCCCCATTCTGGCATTAAGCACCAACTCTTTCCCGTGGACTGAAAGTCCTTTTCAGCTTCTTTGTATTTAAAGTGCTCTAAATAGCTTTAAAGAATCTTTAAAAAAAAAAAAAGGGGGGGAAAAAAAAAGAAAAAAAAAAAAAGAAACGAGCTTCTGTGTTAAAGCCTTAGGTATTTTCAAGAAAGTGGTTTTGTTAGTGCCGAGTGTGCTGGGAACACCTGTGAATGTGGGGTTTAATTGGGCTTGCAGCTGGTGTCGATTGTGTGCCCCGTAACTGGCAGCCACTGCCTGGCTGTACATTGTGTTTCATTTTCCTTTTTCCTTCCTTTTTAACTTGCTCCTCCACCCCGCCAGTTAAAGTTGTAAGGGATTGTGTGTGTAAGAGGGATTAGGAGCCTGGAAACAGAATAGTACCCTGGGGGTTGTGAATAGCACGAATTGGGGCGCTTCCTGGATGAAAACTACCTGCGAGGCTGAGCGCCCATGCGGTGCCCGCCTGCCAGGCAGCCTCAAAGGGAGGCTGGGGAGAGGTTTGGGAAGTTTGCTCAGTTAAGGAGAGATAAAAGCTTCATACATGGGAGCTTTAAAAGGACATGAATAACTCCTGGGTCAGGACATCTGTTTCTCACTCAGGCAAATTCCTACCCGCGTCAGGCACCTCCTACCCCTGCGTCAGGAGCTGCTCTGTGAGAGCAATAGACACACAAAAACAGGGAAGTTGGAAAAGCTTTCAGGACTCAGGGCCATCACCTGACTGAGAGAAAAGGTGGGCATGGATACCTTTCCAAAGTGAGAAAACAAATCAGGAGAAGATGCTCCACAGGCAGAGAGTAGCTGGGAAAGGTTGCTGGCTGTATTCTAAAACTGACATAAAAAATTCAA